CGATATTCGACCCGAATATGATTGCGAAATGCGAACATATTCAAAACCATAAATTTTCGCATATAACAATTTTCTTAAAAATTAAACCATAAATTACACAAATAACAATATTTCAAAATAAAACCATAAGCTATTTTCAACGCAAAAATTAAACCATACACTATGGTAATACGCATATTAAACAAAATAAACTCTTCACTTTTGTTATAACGAGTTAACAATCAGTCTTATTTAACTAAACGCTTATACAATGAGATAGAAATATAAATATATATATTGTCATTACAAAAGATAATTATTGTGTAATCGGTTTTATCCACGGCTTCATTCGATCAGTTGACAAAATCGAATTGTATGGACGGGCAGTTACATTAAAGCCGGGAATGTCCTGAACGACATATCGATTTTTATTTAATGCTTTAGACACAAGATACGGACCTTTATAATTTGGTTTTAACTTTTTGTTCTCACCCGGTTTTAAAGCCGAATCTCGAATCAAAACGTAATCACCTACTTTGTACTTAGACGGTTTCTTGTGTCTAATGTCATAATAAGACTTATTATAGTTTTTAATCTTATCGCATATTTCTGACGCTAACTTACGAGTAGTATCACGTTCTTTATCGTAATCGAGATCAATCTGAGCAATTTGATTTAGATGCTTGACTAGATCGGAATCTGTATGACTATGTTGGTCATATCCAAGAAGCATTTTGGACGGAGACGATTTTAACGACGCATGATACGTGTTATTAATAACATATTGCACTGTATTAATGTGTTGGTTCCATGTTTCCGGTTCACCAGTCAGTTTTCTTAGGGAAGACTTTAAGAAACGGTTAATTCTTTCTACTAATCCGTTGCTCCACGGAGCTGCGACAGCAATTAATCGATGATAAGTTTTCCTGGAGGCCAGAAATTTAGAAAATTCATCGGCCGTGAAAGCAGTTCCTCTATCTGATACTAACGTGACTGGAAAACCAAAAACATTGAATACATTTGATAAATGTTTAATCGTTTCTTTGGCACTAGTTGACTTGGCTGGAAATAGCCATGTAAATCTCGTGAACGCGTCCACAAGTACAAGTATATGTTTAAAACCTTCCGAGGTTTCCGTAAGTGGACCAAAATGATCGCAGTGTACGATTTGAAAGGGAGCCGTTGGATTATCCACGACTTGCAATTCGCCTTCACGAGCATTACTAGCTGTATTAGACATAAGACAAGTAAGACAATCGTCTATGTAAGATCGAACCCTTTTTCTCATGGACGGAAACCAATAGTTCGTCCCGATACCCTGGATTGTTTTATCTATACCGCAATGTGCCATTTCGTCATGGTATACACGAAGGATATTATTCACCATGGACTCAGGCACCGCAAAGCGAGGTTTATCTGTACATTTTCTGAAAACGAGACCATCAATTAAATCAAATTTCTCATGTGAAGAAAACTCAAGATCTTCAGCTAAAGGTTTAAGTCTTGGATCAGACAATTGTTTGTATTCCAATTCTATTTCTAA